TGCTGTCATATAAATGCAATACTGTTTGTGTCAAAGCAAACCTTAATTAAATACCGTATTGAGTATGTGATGCTCTATAAAAGCATATATGAGATGTAATTTATAAGGAACTGAATATAGTTATAAAGATTTATATAACTTTAAGACTGTTCTTGAAAATAATGTTTCTGAAGTTAATTTTGTATGAACTGTGTGATGCAGTTGGAAAAGAGGCATGATATAGTGTATGTCTATATTAGATAAGTTAGTTTATACACTAATGGGTCACAAAGAAGATTTTATTTATTTATTTATTGGGATATGCATAAAATAATATAAGGTCCTAACAATTGTTGGATCACAAATATAGAAGTGATCTGGCTGAGTATTTCTTATTACATTGTCTTGATTTTCTTGCATTTAATGTATTTAGTTATTTATTGCTGTAGTATTCCGCATGAGATGTGTTTAGTTATGCTCAAATTTATGAACAACTTCTCATCTCACATCTTGTTATATAAATATATGGTAGTCAATTTATTTTGACACTGGAGTTCATAAAATACAGAGTAAGTATCTGTGTTGCATTACTATTCTCACTCATGTTGCTGAGCCCTTCTTAAGAAACCACTCAAGAACTTCCCAGCATTTTATGGAACCTGAAGGTTCAGTACTCTGTTCATAAGGGCCCTCCACAGGTCCCTATCCTGAGCCAGATTGATCCAGTCCATACCATCCGAATGGGCCACGCCATAGCTCAAGCGGTTAGTTGCTAGGTTTGGTCAAGTGGGATTTGTGGTGGACAAAGTGGCACTAGGGCAGGTTTCCTCCAAGTACTTTGGTTTTCCCTGCCAATCTTCATTCCACCAATTGCTCCACAATCACCCTCACCTATCTTCTGGGGCTGCTACAATAGACCAGAAGTGGCTGCAGCATAAGGAACATAGTCCCACCCCACTAGCAATAAAAAAAAAAGAAAATACCATCCCAATCCTATCTCTCTAAGATCCGTTTTAATATTGTCCACCCACCTACATCTTCATCTTCATAGTGGTCTCTATCCTTCTGGCTTTACCACCAGTATTCTCTATGGATTCATATCCTCTCATCATTCATGCTACATGCCCAGCACATCTCATCCTCCTTCATTTGTCCATTCTAATTGTACTTGGCAAAGAGTACAAGTTATGAAGCTCCTCATTATGCAGTTTTCTCCAACCTCCCATCACTCCATCTCTTTTCAATCCAAATATTCCCTCAGCACTCTGTTCTCAAACACCCTCAGTCTATGTTCATTACTTTATGTCACAGACCAAGTTTCACATGCATACAAAACCACAGGCAAACTTATGGTTTTGTATATTCTGATATACAAGATTTTATTATGTTTCCTTTAAACACATTTTAATCAGCCTAACTCATTTCATGGGTACCCCAAACTCTATGAGAATGTTGTACAATACTTACCTCCTAACTCAATCACAGGCTTTCTTAAAGTCTACAAATAGCTGATGTACTGTCTCATTTTACTCACATTTTTCCTCAGTATCTCACAAATGCAAAAGATCTGATCAGTTCTTAAGCTGCTACGTCAAAACCCACATTGATGATCCCCAATAATTTCATCTATATGTGGATTTAACCTTGAGAGAAGAATATTGGATAAAATTTTATACAAAGTTGATAGAAGTAATATTCCATGATAATTACTACAGTCATTTTTATTACCCCTCTTGTGAACTGGTACAGTAATAGACTGCTTCCACTGATCAGTCAATTTTTCCTTATTCCAAATATAAATAACTTATGAATCTTAGAACATCATATTTCATCTCCTGCTTGAATAAGTTCTGCTGGAATTTGATCAGTACCTGGCGATTTATACCTTTTCAACTTTACAATAGCAATTTCAACCTCAAAAGTGCTAGGATAAGGTACTAATGGCTAAGCTGTATATATTTTTAGCTGCCTAACCTCACTGACCGTATGTATGAGTACATTCAATAACTGATAAAAGTAGTTCTTCTACCTATTCAAAATTGTGTGGGAATCTGCAAGCAGATCACCATTCTCATCTTTCGCTAAGTTACTTGTAGGCTGAGAACCCCCCCTAAAGACATGTATTCCTCTATACAGGTCTCTAATGTTCTTGTTCTTACTGTTCATTGCATGCTCATCAATTTTGTATTTCAGATATTCCCTCTTCTTATTCCTGAAATGCCTGCTGATTTCACATCTTAACATTGTTCAGATTATCCCCATTTATTTCACCTGAATCCTGTAACCACTGCAGTTTTCAGCATCCTTCATTCAACCATGGTCTATGCTCCTTCAATTCATAATAACCTAGACTCTCTCTGGCTGAAATTTTGATATTCTCTCTATTTTCCCAAGCTTTATTAATATCCACCTGTGTCTTGTTTTGCAAAGCCGCAAACCTGTTTGAGATTTCAACTTATTACTGCTCTTTACCCTCTATCTCATTTAATTTCTTGAGATTGAATCTCTCCATATGAACTCTGTGCATTGTTTGTTTATTCAATGCCAATCTCTCCCTAACTTTTGCCACCACCACATAGCGGTTAATATCACAGTCCGTTGCCCTGAACAATCAGACATGAAGTATACTTGAATGCTGTCTCCTGTCAAACTGTGATAAAGTTGGTTGTGCGTCTTTGCATCAGATGTCCAAGTAAATTTGTGAATGTCATGATGTGGGAACTTTCTACTTTTGACAATAAGATTTTTGGATGAGGAAAAGTTTACTACTCTAACTCCATTATCATTTCTAATTTCGTCAAAACTCTCATTCCTAATTGCTGGTTTGAAAATGTCTTCCCTACCTACATTGGCATTGAAATCTCGTAACAAGATTTTCATATGGTATTAAGGGAATTTATCAAATACATGTTCTTCGTAGAACCTGTCCTTCGTATCATCATTTTTATCTTCTGTTGGGGCATGAACATTCATAACAATGATATCACACCAGTGACCTCTTAGTATTATGTAGGGCATCCTATCACTAACAAACTCTAACCCCTTAACTGCTGATATGATTCTTCTATGGACAAAAAAACCTGTACCTAATTCATGACTCTCATTCCCCTTTCACAGACAAATGTATATTCACCTGCTGATTCAGTGCCACCTCCCTCCCATGTGACCTCCAGTACTCCCATTAAAGCTAACTTATATTTGGATATATCTTCTGCCACTGTCCTGGGCAAACCTGACTTATACATACTTCTAACATTCCAAGTATCAAATCCCATGTCCTTCTTGTTTTGCTTAGGTCATTTATCCAAAGAATCCATCCAGGTCCGATGCTTCTTGTGATCTTTTGTAACAAGCTTATTTTTTATAGCGAGGAGTTGTTAGCCCCATGCCCAACTGCCAAGCTGGAGGACCACCCCTTGTTGGCTACCCATGAGTGCTTATTCAACATATTCACAGCTATCCTCCATATCTGGAGGCCATGTCATCCATCTGTAACCTGAGGGTGCACCATGCCAACAAGGGACCCACCTAACATGGCATTATTATTAACTTAAAAATATCAAAATTTGTAATATATACCAAAATAAGCATTAGTAACATCACAACTTCCATGTTGCATTAACCTGTCACTTATTACTTCATTTATAATGGAATGGGAAGATGCATGGAATAAAAAACGAAAAAGAAACAAGTTCTGGGAGAACTAATCACCTACTTTCCTTTGATACGACATGTACTGCATAGGTGACAACACATCCAACAGTTCTCCTATTATTGTGTATTTGTTGTCAGGGTAACGTTTTTGCTGAGCTCTTCCCTAGCAACAGCAGGGGGATACACATACAAACAGGCTCACGGAAGGGATTTATGAAGTATGCTGTTGAGATGGACTCAGGTGCCATGATATACATGCCTAGTTTCATGAAGCCTAGTTCAGGCATTCAAAGTTGATAGAGGGTATTCACAGATACACAGACAGCATAATAATCTCATAAGCCTACTTTTATTTTTTTCAAAATAACGAAAGTTAACTATAAACAGCATCAATTTTAATTTGTAATATCACCGTATACAAGAGAGAATTAAAATCTTGAATAAATGTGCCATGTAACAGCTCATGTGGGTCACTGGTTTCCCACCCACCAGCATGGGTTCAATTCCAGGCCAGCTCATAGCATTTGCAACAGACAAATTGGCACTGGGGTGGGTTTTCCCCAAGGACTTTGGTTCCCCCTGCCAATTCTCATACCACAAATTGCTTCACATCCATTAATCATCCTATCATAATGCTATATAGTCTCAACACTCACAGCTTTGTTAAATAATCTGCCACCACCACCACCACATGTATTATTCTGTGTACATCTGATTCTCAAAAGACCAGGTGCCTTCAGTTTTTATAGCCAAAGCATACTGTATAATGCCAAAATCAATAATGAGAAACTATGTATGAGGTCATTATTTCATTATACTGCAGTATTTACATTATCCATTCTATGCTTCTGGATTATATTCCTCCTTAATACATTTACTGTTTTTAAATTCTGATGCAGTACTGGTGAGTCCAAAACAACACACCAGTTCAAGATTATGTAGGATTTGAAGTTCTCACAGTTGTGGTTATGAAGAAAACTATCTTCTGGGAAATAATACAATTTGGTTCATTGAAAGTCAACCAACGTTTCAGAGGAACATACACTTTTATCTTCAGCGTCAAAGGATAAGCCAAGCAAGAAACCAGTGTGAAAGCAGGTGGTATTCCTCTGAAACATAGGTTGACTTTGAACAGAATATATGGCATTATATCCTGGTAGAGAGTTCTCTTCAGTTCAAGATTATTTGAGTCTGAAGAATATTACATCTGATGGCAAAAAAAAAAAGTGCTGACCATATGTGGTTAGGAAATTCTTACACAAATTAAAACACCAAGTGAACAAGCATGTAAAATGAGAGGAATGAATTGCTTTCTGGCTACAATAAACATCCCAGTGTTATGATGTGTTCAAAAGAAAAGATACTCCTTTACAAATGTTAATTTATTCCTAGATTTTGAGACACAGTATTTAATTTCTTTACATTAGCGAAATACAAGTTAAGACTAACTAAATTACCTTATAACTAATAAAGAAATAAGACCTTATCTTATTTAACCCTTCTTTTTACAAACCTGTGTCAATCTATCAAACCAACTTGTAACTAATGGTTACTTGAACATTTTCAGTGACATGATCCATTCGACTGTCTCAACCCAGTATAAAAAAAATAGGAACTAAATTATAATTGAAATTAGGCTGAAGCCAAACATATTATTTACAGGTTTTTATACACATAATTCTGAATATACTAGCAATTATATAAAACTCCTTCTCTATTTCTGAAAATTTAGTTTGTTTGGTACACTCAGATGCACAATAATCAAACTGTGCAAGTAAGCTGTGAGACAGTGGTTGCCAGGAACTCGCACAGTGATAACCTGAGACTACAATGTTATATAGAAACATCAACATCCAAGCTCCTGGCTATAGACAAGGCCGGTATTACAGTATATATCTATCTCCATTTACTTCTCCAGCCAAAAACCCTTTTGTGGTTTCAGACTTGTTTACATGGTATCAAGGACTCTTACGCTTAATTTTAAGATTATTGAGGGGGGGGGGGGGATAAGATAGTTTTTTTTGTAACAGAAAAATGTTACAAATGATTTTAGTTGGAATAGGTGAGTTCCAACTACATTTCAAACAATATGAGCACAGTGTTAGCAAGTTGGTTAAGATTTAGAATGTGAAATTATTCATAAATTATATACTCCAGAATGAAAGCCAAGGTATATAGAGCAGCAAAACATAATCTTAACTATTCCAGTCTTTCCCCGCACATCAAATCTGCAGCCACACAAATCCTTTATGGAATGTTTGTAACATGCCAGAAGTTCCTGTACACATATCAACAATTCAGGTCCATTATATTTATCACTGCTGCCTTACAAATAATCACAAAATTTAAACAAACATAAAACAATAAGAAACTAACAATTTCCTATCTACCATTAATCATCATAAAACATTGAATATAAGACAATTCAGAACACAAATGGAAGAAAAGAGACCACAATCTCATTTATACATTTTCCTCAACAGGAAATTTAAGTGGGAGGCCCTAAGTGACAACAATGCCCATACATAAAAAAAGCTACAACACAAGCAGCGTGTTTTCTTTTTCCAGAAATCAGTTTATTTTCATGCACTTAAATCACTGCACTGCTTATATATTTAAACAATTGTCTGCACGATCAATTCGTTTGTCACTCAAAGCTACAGACTTGCTCCTGTTCATAAATTAATGTCAACCAATCAACACTCACTCACAATATACATCATGTAACAATTTACAGCCACATACTATTATTTTGGGTTTTGTGCTTTAACGATTGCACTTACCCTATCAGTCTCTAGGCTTTTGGTTCAGTATTATTAACAGTTTTTATAAAAAATAATAAAAACTTAAAGAAAGTCTCAAGAACACTAGATTTAACCATCTTCCTTGGGCGGAGTGAACCAACCTGCAACAGAGATTGCAATGTTAAGCAAACATAATTAAAGCAATACCATTGCCATCCCTTCTCATACATTATGTAACCTTCTGCCTTCAGTTCACAGACCAGTTCTGTTAAATGCTTGGATGGACTGAGGACCAGCTTCTAAGACTATTACATCCTCTCAGTATGTAATTTTGGATATCCCTCAGAGATGGTGGTTAGCTTCAGTTTTTGGTTGTATCTTCAAACACTCCCTAACACAATTATACAACAGAGTATTTCTGGTATACATCTCGATGGCAGTAAAATATTATTTTTTCATTGGGTGTTAATTTTTCATGAATTAATCCTAGCCCCAGTAAAACAGCTTAATTTTACTACTCCAAAATTAGAACAATATAAATTTTAAAATCTTTTTATGTAAATTTGTTTCCACTTAATTCATCTCTGTTATGTGAAAATATTCCCCCCCTAAGGTGCCTCCATCTTGTCGTGGTGGTGGGGCTTCTGTGACTCTGTGACCTGGAGAGCTATGCCAGTGGTAGTTTAACTACTGGCAGGGTCACCCATGCCAGAAAGGTCAAAGGATAGAGTCCAGACTAGGAGAGATACCCTGGTCCTCCAGGTTGGTGGCTGGGCATGAGGTTAACAACCTCATCCAGTAAAAAGAATTTTTGTTCAGAAACCTACCAACCAGCCTTGGATAAGTGGAACATATGGGAATGGACTAAGCAAGGAACAAGGAATAATGATACTGTGATGGCAACTTAGAATGTACACACAATGCTGCAACCTGGAAAGATGCAGGAAGTAGCCCAAGAAGTGATACACTACAAAACTGACAATATGGCATTGCAAGAAATAAGATGGCAAGGAACCAGCAGAATAGATAACCCAGAACTTATTATAATATGCAGTGGATCGCACGAAAGAACCGGACAGTTCGGAACAGGGTTTATGATAACAAGAAAAATGAAAGAAAGCATGCTGGAATATGAAAATTAATGATGGAATTTTAAGTTAAGAATGAAAGAGAGACACAGAAATATTACACTAACATCACTAGAGGCCCCAACAGAAGAAAAAGAAGAGAGAGAGAAAGAGGAGTTCTATGAATGTTCAGAGGAAACCTATCACAAAATTCAGAAGTACTATTATGTAATAATAATGGAAGACACAGAGATAGGGAAAGCAGGACATCAAAAGAAAGTGGCAGGGATATGCACAATACATGACATCAGTAATGAAAACGGTAACTTACTAAGACAGTTTGGTACCAGAAATGGATTGAAGATAAAAAGCACAACACTTCCATATAAAAATACACACCTAGGAACATGGAAAATACCAGGATCAAATGAAGTTAACCAAATGGACCACGTGCTGAGTAGCAGAGGACCCAACTGTGATACAGACCATTACTTAGTCAAAATTAAAGTAAGAGAAAGAACTGCTAGTGTACAGAAGTTGGAAGGATGAAGCCAAAAAAGTGGGATGTAGAAACACTACAACAAAGCAAAGAAATAAAAGAAAATCAGAGATAAAAAATTGGAAGAGGACAGAAAAAGTAATAAAGGAAATATCAGAAGGAAGTGGGCAAAGAAGGAAATCAACATAATAAAGAATGGTTCGATGAAGAGTGTGAAACAGTAGTATCAGAGAACAATGGTAGAAAAAATGCTACAAAGAGAAACATGAGCAAACTGAAAGATATCAAGAATTAAGGAGGAAAGCAAATAGATTAAGTAAGGAGATGAAAAAGGAGAGGGGCGAAGAAAGAGTTCGAGGAAGTAAATAAATTTAAAGATCAGAATGAGAGAAGAAAATTTTATAGGACATCAGATAACCCTAAAAAAGGATTTCAACCAAGAAGTAATGGCTATAGAGACAACAGACGGTGAAATAATAAGAGAGGAAGGGAAAGTACTACAATGATGGGAAGAATACTTTAAAGAACTACTAAATATCGGAAAAAAAAAAGGTGAAGAGAAGGAATGAAAACGATGAAGAAGAAATAAGAATAGGAAGAAGAGTAACAGAAGAAGATGAAGAGGTAAATATGCAAATACATGAGGAAATAGAAGAATGTATTAAAAAACAAAGAATAATAAAGCACCAGGAGAAGACGGTATCACAGCAGAAATGATTAAGTATGGGGGAGAAGGAATAACAGACGCCATGAACAAATTAATCACTGATATGGACAACAGGAGAAAAGCCTGAAAGCTGGAATACAGAATTCATATGCCCCATACTAAAAAAGTAGATAAACTAGAATGTGGAAATAACAGAGGAATCACATTACTGAACATAGCATATTAAGATATTATCTAGTGTAATAAATGGATGGCTACAAATGATAACTTAAAAGATCACTGGAGAGAGTGAATGCGGATTTCACCTAAATAGAAGTACAACTGACAAACTCATAATAAGACGAATGATAGAAAAGTATTATGAATACAGCATGAACTTGCATGTGCTATTTGTATACTTTAGACAAGCATTCGACAGCATTAACAGAAAAAGATTATATGAAGCAATGAAACAGATGAAAATACCAGATAAATTAATAAGGCTAACTCAAATGACACTGAATATTACACAAGCAAAAGTTAAAATAAATAATAAACTAAGCCCAAAATTTGAATTTAATGCTGGAGTCAAGCAAGAGGATAGTTTATCAGCAGTGATATTCATAGTGGCATTACGCAGTGTAATAAAGGGTAGAGATCAGAGACGAACAAATTATAAAATATGAAGCCAGCTAGATCCAGAGAAAAGATAACTGAGATATCAGAAAATGGAAGAAGCAGGGGAGATAGGATTAGAAGTAAAAGAAAGAAAAAAACAAAATATATGATTGTGTCAATATAGAAAGTAGAAGGAAACCACAAGATTTAAAGGTAGAAGGGAAATTATTTACAGGAGTAGTTTTAAATATGATCAGTAATGGCAATAGAAATGATAATTGTGTCAAGGAAACATCGTTTCCTTGACACAATTATTAGTGATGCTCGATGGCTTTCAAGAGGCAAGGTATTAAAGAGAATGTTTGAACTGAGGCATGAGGTGTTCTGTTTTGTAAGTGGAGAAAATCACTCATTGGCAGACAGTTTCAGCAACAAGGATTTTTATTGAAAATGGCTTACCTCACAGATATATTTGAGAAACTAAATATCCTCAACACTTCACTTCAAGGGAATGAGGCTACTGTACATTCTTGGAATGACAAACTGAAGGCATTCATGGGAAAATTAGAGCTCTGGAGAAACAGTACGGAAAGTGACACGCTAGACATGTTCCCTACTCTGGTGTCAATGGTGCAAGACACTGATAATCCAGTGCATCCAATGGACATAAAAAGCGGCCTACATGATCATCTCATAATGTTGAAAGTTCATTTCGAGAAATACTTTTGCAGTGATTTTGATGAATTTAATTGGATTAAAAATCCATTCGAAAATGCTCCTGAGCCATCATCTCTGAATGTAATTGAGCAAGAACAACTCATTGATCTCACTAGTGATACTTCATTAAAAGTATATTTAAGGAATTGTCTTTGTTGGAGTTCTGGATATATATTGGCAAGGAATTCCCAACTTTGAGCCAAGAAGCACTGAAGATCCTGATTCCTTTCACAACAACTTACTTGTGCGAGACAGGCTTTTCTGCTTTGGCAGCTGTAAAGTCAAAGTATCGTTCAAGGCTAAATATTGCTAAAGAAGTTAGAGTGGCCATTTCTGATATTACACCATGTTTTGATAAACTTTGTCCTCAAAAACAGGCCCATCCATCACACTGAACTTTGACATTTAAATGTTTCATTTTCTTTGCAGAAAAAAATTAAATACTTGTTAGTTAAATATCATTTCATTTCAATACATATTTTGGTTAAATGCATGTGTTAAAACTAATTTTTATTGTAGGTCTAATATTGTGATACTTTAATTTTGAGTAAAAAACTGCTAAATAGTATGTAGAATAACATAAAATAAACTGATTAAAACGTCAACTATACCATTACTTCTATTTTGATAAAAAAAACAGGCTGGGGGCCTGAGAGTATTTTCTCTTGTCAGGGGGGCTCAGAGGTAAAATGTTTGAGAACCACTGGCACATTCTAAAGTAAAGTTTAAAAGCAGCGGCTCTGAAGCATCTCCTTGTTTTATACCATTTTGGATAGGAAAATTATTAAACAAATGTTTACCCATATTGACTTTACTACAAGTTTTCTTTAAACACATTTTAATCTTCCAAACTAGTTTCAAACTGTATGAAAATACTGTACAATACCTTCCTCCTAACTGAATCACAGGCTCTCTTGAAGTATATGAATGGCTGTTGTACTGTCTCATTGTTCCCCCATTTTTTTTGCAGTATCTGACGAATGCAAAAGTTCTGATCAATAGTAGATCTGTTATGCAGAAACCCACACTGATGATCTCCACTAATTTTATCATGTATGGACTTAACCATTACAGAATGATATTGGACAAAATTTTGTATGAAGATGTTAACAGTGATATCCCAAAGTAATTATTACAGTCAGTTTTACTGCCCTTCTTGTAAACTGATACAATTAAGGAGTCCTTCCTCTGAACAGTCAAGTGTTCCTTGCTCCAAATAGAATTCATGAGTTTATGGGTCTTGGACCAATGTTTAGCCTCCTGCTTGGATCAGTTCTCCCAGAATTTGATCACCACCTGGTGATTTACACCTTTTCAACTTTGCAATAGCAATTTCAACCTCAAGCAGAATAGGATCAGGTACTAATGGCTCAGCTGTATGTATTTCTGTCTGCCTAACAGCACTGACCCTATGTACATTCAATAACTGAAAGAAATAGTTCTTCCACCTATTCAAAATGTTGTGGGAACCTGCAAGCAGATCACCATTCTCATTCTTTACTAAGTTGCTTCTAGGTTGGCAATTCTTCATAATTAATTTACTCATCTATACCAGTCTCAATTAATGTTCTCATTCTTAATGTTCATTGCAAGCTCATTAATTTTGTCTTTCAC